GGAGTGTGTTCAGCAGCTGTTTCTATATATTCCATTTGTGGAGAGAGTACAAAGTGTGCACACGTAGATAAATTCAGAAAACCTTAAGAAGAGAAGAAAAATGAATCTCAGTAAAATCTCAATAATGAGTAAAAAAGCAATATGCATTGTAGGATGCTGTGTAAAGGATTAGCTGGTTTAGAATCATAGAAGGGTTTACTTTGAAGGGAACTTGGAGATAATTTAATTCCAGCATCCTTGCCATGTTTATTAAAGCAGGTTGTTGAAAGCCCCATCCAGGCTGGCCTTGAGCACTTCCAGGGATGGGTCATCCATGGCTTCTCTGGATAACCTGTGCCAGGGCCTTTCCACCCTCACAGTAGAGAATTTTTTCCTCATATCCCATCTAACCCTGCCTCTGCTGGTTTGAAGCCATTGCCCCTTGTCCTGTCACTCCATGCCCTTGTGCGAAGTCCCTCTCCAGCTCTCTTGTAGCCCCTTTAGGTACTGCAAGGTGCCACAGGCCCTTCCCAGAGCCGTCTGTTCTGCAGGCAGGGCATCCCCAGCGTTCCCAGCCTGTCCCACAGCAGAGGGGCTCAGCCCTTGGTCACCTCTGTGGCTCCTCGGGCCTGGCTCCAGCAGGTTCAGCCCCTCTGCTGTGGGGCTGGGGCAGCACTGCAGGTGGGGCTGCACAAGAGCAGAGTACAGGGGCAGGATTGCCTCCCTTCACCAGCTGCTCACACTTGTTTTGATGCACTCCTGTATGCAGTTGGCTTAAAATTATTTATATTTCTTTAAATATTTATTTGCTGCCTGATAATTAACACTTGAGGAGTGTATACAGTTTGCAAAACATCAGGTTACAACATATGCAAGCATTTAATACTGGCTGGTGGTTTTTTCTATTTTTAATGTGTTTTAAAAAAACTCAAGAAAATGGAATCACTTAGTAAGTGAATGGCTGGCTGAAAAATTTATTTTTATGAAAATGTATTTAAATTCACTCTAAGGGTATTTCAAGTTACATTTGATATGGCTCATGAAAAGAAAGATTGTCTACAGTTGCCCAATGTGAATAGTTTTAGCCACTTCATGATTTGAGAACTCTGCCTTGCTTTGGTAGCTTATTTGCATTCATGGGCAGGAAGAGGATTGTGTTTGGGCTGAAGGCCAGCTAGTAAACTTCACAGCTGAGTTCCCAAGTGTGCACTTAAAACCTCCCCTGACATCCTTAGCTCTGCAGTTTTCTGCTCCTTGCTCTGAGTGATCAGCGTGTGGCTCTCCTGGCAGTCCTTCCTCCTCTTCCGCCAGTTCCAGCTTGCACACCCAGAACAATGCTCTTTCTTCTAGGTCTTGTCTCCACAGCTAGAGGTTGTTGGAGCATGTTCTGGGACAGCACACCACTTCTTTGGCTTTCTGAAAACAGAGTGAAGTAACTCCTGAAATGAAGAAAATACTTGTTTCAGGTTAGTTAGTTGTCTCTGCTTTTTTGTTAGTGTTTAGTGCCTGGAAACAGCCACGCTATGGTTGCAGAAGCCTCCAGCCAAGCAGGCTTTGCTTCACATCTCAACAAAATTCTGATCTTGGAAAAACTTGTGTTACTGGAATTGTACCCCTTGTGTAGGTTGATCTAACTTCAGTCAAATTCCTTTTCACAGGCTTAAGTTTGACCTGGTTTAGGACATGCTGAGGTTGAATAATGTGTCTGCAGCTGTGGAAGCTGATGAACAAAAGGAGCAGAATCTATTTAGTGCCACTGGATTTAAATGTGCTGCCCACTAATATTTTACAACTCTCCTTTGTATCCTGTTGTATGCTCACCATATGAGCCAGCTGGGTGTGGCTTTTCAAGCTCCAACGAGTAGGACAAGTTGGTATTGTGCTTATACAGAGCCCATCCTGGTCAGTACTTGCTGCTGTATTTCAGAGGTTCTAGGAGCTGATTAATTCTTTTTTCCTTAAGGTAATGCTTCCCTAGGCTGGCCTCTGTAGGTCACTCTTGTCTCTAAATCATGAAGTGTAATCCAGGTTTGGGCACAGAATGGTACTGGCAGCAAAGATTCCCAGTCTCTAATAGGTTTGTGGCAATTAATGAGATACAAATCTTGCCTCTGTCTCTTAGTCTGAAAACTTTGGTGTTCACAGTGTTCTAACAATGGTACCTGAAAATCAAGTGAGCTATAATTAAAAATGTTTAAAATTGCATTGTCCAGAACACTTTCTTAGATGTTCTCCTTTCATTAACTTTCATTATGGGTGCAAAGAAATGCTGCTGTTGGTGCAGTGCCTGTGACTTGTGAAGGGTTCTGCAGCAAAGCAAGCCAGTGCTGGGCCTTTTGGCATGTTGGAGCTGTAGGAGTAATAAAAGAACCAGCAGATCAAGATGCAAATTCAAGATAAAATCCTGCTGTGTAAGGAATGTAGTTCTAAATTTTGGCATTCACAGACTCTGTCTCTGTAAAGTGTAAAATCTGTACCTAGATATGATTCACAAATATTCTCATGAAAACTGCTGGCTCTAGAATAAGAAACAACTGCCTGTTCAAATTATGAAAATCTCTGGTAAAGTGTATTTACTGTCAGCTCCAGTTATGCAAATAATTTCATTGTACCTTTAATTTCCCTTGTTATGACACACTAAATTATGTTTCTCAATATGTTTACTTTTATTTACTTTCAGAGTATATAGTGGAAACATTTCAACTCAGTCTCTTCCACAGAAGACATTCAGATTGTTTTTATGGTAGGGGAAAAAAAAAGATAAGATTCAAAAACCTATTGCACCTAGACATTCTAAATGATATTTAGTGTTAGCAGCTGAAATTGAAAGTTCAATTGTTGTAAATGTCATATGAACACAAAGTGTGCCAGAACTCTGCACGCTGAAGAGACAGCACAGGAAATGGTGCTGTTACTGCTCGTGAGTGCAGATAAGGAACTGGGCAAAAGGGAGATTAAACACAGACTTTTTCCCAACTGACTAGATCTGTGTCCAGCTGACTGCTCAAAGTTTAGCAAAAGCACTTGCTGTACTAAAAAAGGTACCTCAAATTAATAGTAGCTGATGAAAGTCTTTATTGATGCAGATTTTCAGTGTGGCGTGGAAAGCTGATAAGCAAAATACTTGCAGAAATATGTTTTGGTGAACAGTAAGAAAGATGCAGTGGGGCAAAATGTAGGGAAGATGTTATCTTAATGCTGTCTGGCATCGAGTCTTAGAGTTGGAAATAAGTGTCCATGTTCAAAAACATGACATGTCAAAATAATGGCCTCCTAGAACATTCATTTTTATCTGTTCATCTTTAAAATATTTCATATTTTTTGTGTAAATGGAAAAAAGAAAAGAGGGTTGGAGATGGAATGTTGTTACATAGGCAGCTAAGTAGGTGTTGAAGCCTGTAATTTGTCATGGTTTATGTGGCTTGAGCTTGGGTGGGTGTACTGCTGGGATTTTAGGGCAAAATGTGTAAGGAAAAGAATTGTTTTGGCCCAGTGCCTTCTGTGGTGGTCTTGTCCTGTCACTTGTTCAGGTTTAGTTTGGGATACCAGGAACCATGAAATAGATCATCTCAGTCTTTACAGGAGGAGCCCTTTCATATCTTATCAGGATTATCAGTGTCTTTTATTACTACCACAGAGAAGCACAACCTTTAGTAGGCAATGCAAAGTCTTGGAAAGGAAATGCTTTGGCTGATCCTCCTCCCTCTGAACCAAGCTGTTCTCTGCTGGGGAATTCAGTGCTGCTGTAGGAACCTCTCTGCTGATGGAGCCAAAAGGGCCCTGGCCCCTGGGGATATTTCCTTGCATGCAGATAATTAGAAAGAGGAAAACTGAGCCCTTGATATAATTGATTAGAAGTTATATGCTTGAAAGATTTGTAATCAAACATATACGTGATACGTACCAAACAGAGCCCTGGTTTGTGCTTCCTGTTTTACCTTTAACATAGATAATCTGATTGCTATCTAAATTATGCCTTTGATTAATGGAAAAGCAATCACGATTATCATAACTACCTGAAAGAACTTCTCATAGACTTTTAAAAGATTAAAGATATGGCTGAATTAAGTGTATAGCACTGGAATGTTGTTAAAAATTCCTGTTTCTGTGAAGTAATAGAACTTCCTGTGTAAATTGCTTTTGCTGCCACTGTAGTGGAGCTTTCTGTGAGCTTTCCCCAAATCATTCCCCAGGCTGACTGCTTCCATCCATGTGTCCCTAATGGCCATCAGCAGCAGGTTTCATTCAGCTGTTCCACAAAGGTGTGGGATGGGTAGGACAGGAGACCTCCAAGGCTGGCAAATCTCTTCACTCAGGAATGGAGCATTAGAGGAAATTAACCAGTTTAGTCATACATTTTAGGCTTTTATCGCTTAAAGAAAATTTACATGGGGTTTCTCTTGGCATTCCTCATAGCCCTTGTAGGTACAGAGTATATACTACTTTTTAGTATCACTTCCTAAAAAGTAGTCTTTCATGGGTAGAGGTATGTAGGAGACTTGTTGGATTTCCTGAATGGCTGTTGGTGTACTGTGTATAAATTTTTCAGTAGCCAGTGTGCATTATACATGCTTTCTCTCAAAGGTAACTTTCTCTTTTTTATGAATTAGTGAAGAGAAGAAATGTAAAATTAGAAAGTCAGGGTCTGAAGAGTGATCTCTCAGTTGTGGTTTGACTTGTAGCTTTCCTTTTGTAGGTACAGATTTGTCTTCATATTTTGTTGTCCCTGGATTATTTCCATCAGTGCTTCCTACACTCGAAGCAGGATAAGGGAACCTGGTATCAGACAAGAAACTGCAGCATTTTTCCTGTTGTTTTTTCATAATCTTTGAAGTGTGAGCTCCTTGCTGAGAGAACTGAAACAAGGGTTTTAGTATGGGAACTGCAGTTCAGTCAATGACCTCTAGTCCCCTGGAGCCAAGGTGCTCTTTGGGCTGCAGCAGATGAAATCATCAGTCTTTCTAAGCTCTGGAGGAGCTGACTTGTTGAATACAGAATGCTGATGGCTGTTTGTGCTTCAGGTGCCGTATGAAACCCTGAACAAACGATTCCGGGCTGCCCAGAAGAACATTGACCGCGAGACCAGCCACGTCAGCATGGTGGTGGCCGAGCTGGAGAAGACGCTCAGCAGCTGTCCCGCCGTGGACTCTGTTGTCAGTCTGCTGGATGGGGTTGTTGAGAAGCTCAGCGTTCTGAAACGCAAGGTGGGTGCTGAGCCTTCAGAGCTCTGCTGTTTGCCTTGCAGGGCCCCAGGTAAGGGTATAGGTGTTCAATGGTGTCAGGAACCCACGTTTTAAAAAAGGAACCCCCTTGCTGCGGCAGTTACGTCCAGGTATGGACAACACTGGACAAACCAGACCAGTGAAGAGCTTTTTTTATTATTTTCAGCACATCATTCTCAGAACATTGTTAGACAATGGAGACAGGATGTTAACAGCTCGCTGATCCACAGGGAATGTCAAGGAGGTGGAGTATTACAGAATGACATAAGACTATCTCAGTTTAGATTTCTGCTAATCATATATAGAACAACACATATTGACAGGCATTCTATCTAATCTTATAAAACACACGTAATGGTAGTTAAAACAAAGACTGGTTCATAAGAGACAAAGAACAGAGCTCTATTCATGCTAACCTTCTAAAGATATACATTCAATAACCTTGTTGCCATCCATAAGCCAATTCTCCAGAGGCCTATTGTTATTTGTCAGGTATTCTCTACTGCTTGGGAAACTTTTCTGCTGTATTTGCGATGCTAACAGAACTTCAGTCTGAGGCCTATACTTTTTTAACCATTTCCTAAAAACCCTCTAACTTTATGGAATCCAACACCAGGCATTACTGAATCTTAAAAGTGAAACTTTGCTTCTCTGTGCTTCAGAAACACAATTTGGTGGTCCTTGTCTAAGTATAACAAAACAAACTTCTGTTGAGAGGTAAAATTAATAGATATTTGTAGTCCTGGAAAGGACTTTCTTTACTAACAGAAAAGAAATAGTAGCAAAATGAATTGATTTGTACAATTCCTGCTTGTCTAATGGAAAGGTTTGTGTAATTGAATAAATTGATCACTGGAATACCAAAACAGGTAGAAGGTGAAGCTGAAAAATGGGAAACTCCCAGTGCAGGAATAGTTGTATGCAGTGTTGAGACTTCTCTGCAGAAGAAAGTGCAAGTTTGTCCTGGATGGTTACTTGAATTTTTATTATAAACACTCAACTTGCAATTTGAAAGATTCCTAGGGAATATTAAGAGCCTTTTAAACAAAATTTGGCAGGATAGCCTACTTCTAGCTGTAAAGCTCGAACAAAATACAACCAGCCTTTCATGCTTTTACCACATCTTTCTTAGAAAAAGATGTATATGTTCTCAGAAAAAGAAGTGTAAGCCATCCTTATTTTGGATGGGAATATTACTCATCCCTCGAGTCATCAGAACACTTACTTGAAACAAGTCTTGCAGAAAAATGGAAATAGCTCTGTCGCCTGACTTGAGAGCAGTGCTTCTCCCAAAATAAATAGATGGAACATAAAAGCAGAGTCATTTCATTGAAACTTAAATGAAATAACCAACAGATATAAATCTTGTGACAGTACTGTGTGAAGCATCAAAATACCTTGGAGGTTTGCAACATGAAAATAACGCTGTCATATGTGTTGATTTGGGGTTTTCTGCTTGAACAACTTAGGTGTTGAAAAGCTGTTCTGCAGAAGGCTTGATAAATTAATTGCTCTTTTCATCCTTGGCTTGTGAGATTTAAAGAGATATTAAAGGATATGTTTTCCTCACTTCTCTGTTGCTTACAGAAAAATAGGAGCTATTTCTGACAGAGGTGTTGTATGTTGCTGGTAGGTGTGTAGCAATGATGTGGAGGAGTAAAAGTTATTTACTTGTTAAAGCTTTGCTGACTGTGGGGGTGTGTCTGAAGGCATTGCTGAGTGTTTTGGGTGCAAAGCTCCATTCTAGGTTAATTGCTCATTTGTTTTTGATTGCCTGAAAGACTCTGGAGAATCTTACAGCTGCTCAGAAAGAACAAAAGGCCAAAAAAAATTATTTAACAGTAAAAGTCCTATGAAATACAAAGGTCTTGTTTCTGCTCCAAACCCTCAACTCCCAACTGTCTTCTCTGTAATCTCTGCCCCGAGCAAAATTATTGTTTTCTTTAGAGCCTTTGGACCCATGTGGGATCTCTGTTGCCTCCTGTTTAGACAAGGATCTCATGAGCTGCTGAGATGGCCATAATAGAATTGGATGGTTCCTTTATTTAACACCTTACTCACTCCTGAAAGAGAGCTTTAAAACACAGCAGGTTTCTTAGGTTCTGAAAATGATCCTGGGGAAACGTAGGCCTTTGTGTTCTCCCTTTTGTATCCTGTTTAATATGCTTGTTCCCTCAAGTTCTGTTAACATCCAGCAGGGCATGTCCAGATAGACTTGCTTCAGAGGGTTTTGAAAAGAATCTGCAGCCTTTCTGAACATACTAGAAGGATCAAAAAAAACCCAGCAAGAGCTGTGTAAGTCCAGATACGCAGCCATATAAGAAGAGCCCTTTGGAAGCAGAAGGGGTCTGACCTTTGTGCCTGGCTGCCTTGAGTTCTTACTTGTATTCAGAATATTTCTCAAGGTTGCCTTCACATCTGATAATACTGCAGATATCTAAAAAGTGAAAGTGTGTTTTGTCTTGAGTTAGTATTTGCCTGTTGCATAGGAAGAGACTCAGTTTATAACTCAAACAAAATACTTGTCACCGAACTGTTACAAAATAAAGCACAAGTAACTCCAACTTCAGTAATAAAAGTAACTTATGCTACAGATGTTTACATGGATGTTAAGAGATTCTTGTATGGTGACTAGTGTTTCAGATACTTGAATTTGGTAGCAGTGGCCAGATCAGAGTCAGGCTTAACTGGGGGAAAGAGGGGAATAAGCTCAGTGAGCTTTCCTTGCAAGTTTTCTCTCCTTTAACTTTGCTTTTCAAATGCTGATCCTTCTAGAAGAAGTCTGTGGGTAGGCATGGTAAATGCAATTAGAGCCAGCCTGTGCTTCCAGGGCTGGAGCTGTGTGATGTATGATACTGCAGTTGGAGTTCTGGAAAGGTCTCTGTGTCAGCATGGAGTGCAGAGTGGGCTGCCAAAAGCCTGCCAGGTTCTGCCTCTGCCTTGCAGCTGCCAGAGCTGTGCACTCATTGCAGCACAAGCCAGCAGGTTTAAAGCCACCACAGGGCAGCCTGAGGTGCAGTTGCATCACCAGTGGTGTGTTGCAGCTGGGAGAGGTACTGACCATCCTCTGCTGGTTTGCCTTTACCTTAGCAGGCACATTGGAGTTCTGTAGCCTGACCTGGCCCACGGTTGTCCCATGCTGTGTACTGAGTCAGCTGCCTTGGAATGATGGCTCTAAGGGTGAAGGAAAGCAACTGAGCTGAGTGTTTTGGTTTGAATTAAAAATATTGTGGCAATACCTTGAGGGATTGGTGGGTGGTTTTTTTGCTGGGTATGCCAATATGTTGGTTTAAAATCATCAATCTGTTTTCTCTGGACAAATGTATTTTCCTAAGTAAAGCTCCTTAACAAGGGATGCACGTTCCTGCAGTGGCAGAGTTATATATAAAATAATACCAGTTTAAGAAAACTGATGATTTTGAAAAACTGCTTTCAGATCCTTGAATTACAGGTGCAAAGAGGCCAACCATTTGTATAATTTCCATTATTGCATGACTAATGAAAATGGCTCCAGTGTATTAGAAGTAATGTGGGTTTACTCTGCATCACTCCTGAGTAGAACTAATCCAGCAGGACAGCTGCTGGAGGAAGAAGCCATGCTTGGGTTAGAGGTGGAAATTCTGCTTTTCAACTGTTTGGATCAGATTACTCCAAACCTTCACAAGGCTCTTTGCAGGCTATTACAGCAGTTGCTGCCATAGTTGATGCATTTCTGGTTTCGGATAAACTGCAAATTAAGCAGAAAAATGTATATATTCATAGTGTCAAATAGATGAAAACTCACTTGTGTGGAAGAATATCTCAGAACTGGACCAGCCATGCAGAAGCTTACGCACTGCCACAGGCAATATCTCTAAACAAAAGAGACACTACTGGGAGTAGCTGTGTAACGTATAAAGAATGCTTACAAACACTGGCTGTGTTTTGCTTTCAAAGGAGATGGAAGGCACGCAGCCCTCAGTGTTGGCTTTTGCTTTGCAGGCCGTGGAGTCCATCCAGGCCGAAGATGAGAGCGCCAAGCTGTGCAAGCGCAGGATCGAGCACCTGAAGGAGCACAGCAGTGACCAGCCCGCCGCCGCCAACATGTGGAAGAAGAAGCGCATGGACCGCATGATGGTGGAGCATCTGCTGCGCTGCGGCTACTACAACACAGCTGTCAAACTGGCCAGGCAGAGCGGCATCGAGGTGAGCCCCTGGGAGGAACTGGCTAACAGTGCAGGAGAGAGCAAGCTGGCAAATGAGAACAAGCTGCCTAACCTCAGAGCAGTTATTGTTATGTATTGCTGTGCCTTCCTGCCCAATGTTTATCTCTTAGCATTTTAAGCTTGGGTTTGTTCTCCTTCCTAAATTGTGTTTTAATGCATTAAATAAGTCAAAATTGAAGGCATCATTTTTAGTCACAAATTAAATGCTTTTAGAGAAACACCTGTCTCTGTTAAAACTCAGATTAATACTCAAATGTCATACAAAATTTCTTGTTAGAGGCCTTTAGGCTGCTGATGAAGCAGGTGGTGGAGCTTCCCATCTGTCTAGGCCCACTCAGCTGATCCGTGTAGGTGTCCAGACTGAGCAGAACAGCATTTGCTGATTGCAGGAACAACTGTTCTATTGTATCATCCTATTGTTTAATGCACTGAGAGGAAGGCTGGCTTTTACTTGGGAAAAGAAATTTTGATACAGTTTGGGTTTTTTAGTAGCAGTTATATCTTGCATGATCCTAAGAACATTTTGCTGGTTTGCATGAATCACCATTTTGTGACTGTTGCTCTCCTTCTCACTGGTGAGCTAGTTGGTTTTGCTTGGGCTCACAGTGGGTTCTGAAGTGTTTGCAGTTTGTGTCCTTTGGTGCAGCTATTTTATGCACACCAGTGAATCCTGATTGTGGTCCTGTGACAGCCAGGAGGACATGAAAACTGATTTTTCAAGAATTTGCTTTTTGTCTAGAGAAATCATGTTTTGCAGATTTTAGGTAGCCTTTGCTATTTGATCCTGAGTGATCCTTGACTCTTGTTTTGATATGCCTGATTCTAGAAGGTATGCAACTCTTCTAGTTAAAATCTTACTCTTATAAAGATGCTGAAAGTTGAATTCTCTTACATGAATTATGTACTTTGCCTTTCTTAGGTGGAATAGTTGAACACATCTGTCTCATTTTGTTGGGGAAAAATATATTTTTTACTGATGTCAAATTATAGCATATGTACTTGTTCTTTGTTGTATAACAGGGACCTGTTTGTCATGTGTCTCTTTTTCCTTGGCTGCTTTACTGTCTAATCCTGTTCAGCCAGCAGCAATTTCAGTAAATGCCAAATAGGAAATAGCATGTAGAGGCTGAATAGAAGTGAGAGGGGAAGTGGGTTACAAAGTATTAATAGGAAATAGTCCTGAAAAACATGAACTGAAGGGGCTGTTGTGCCTCACTAGTGAAGGAGCCCGTGCCTGTGTCAGAAATCCCCAGGCAGCGAGCTGGGATAACTGCAGCCTGGCTGCTCAGCAGCTCTGCCACTGCTCGTGGATGCTTCCCTCTGCTTTGAGCAGGAGCCCATCTCTGCTGAATCATCATGCTGCTGCACCTACTAGGTCTGCTGAAAAAGCACTATGGGAATATTTTCACTTTCCTAGCAAGCTCTGTTATGCCTGATTAAGTAATGTCAGCTTTGGTTTGGCCATGAGCATGGAAGTCTTCATGACATACTGCAAGACCCTGTGGTGAAAACATCATACTTGAAGCTTTCCATTCTTTGTTTGTTGAATAGAAAATTTTGTGTTGAAAAGCAAGTTTTAAATAAGATTATTTACCTTCTGCCTGCAAGCCTAACTCTTTAATTTGCATAACATCAGAGTAATAACACAGAACACAGTTGCATGTTGAATGCACTGAGGCCTTTTTTGTTCTAGTTCACTCAAATTATGCATTTAGTCAGTGTTATGGTTTGTTTTGGCTTAAGGAAGATAAGGCTTCCCTCAGTTTCCCTGCTTTGCACTTGGTCTGACTGTATGGCAATCTTCTTTGTGAACAGCTTTTACAGAGTATGATTCTGGGACTTGTTTGTTACACAGAATTTGGGATTTTGTTGGTTTAGTAAGACAGCAGCTTTGTTTCTTTTTGTTCCTTTCCTGAATGTGAGACCCCTGCAGAGCTGCCCAGGTGCTCCATGGCGCAGCAGGTCAGAAAGGATTCTGCCTCAGTGACCAAAGGGAAGCCATTGAATCACCCCAATGTTTGTGTGCTATTGGCAAAGATTGCCTGTGTGCCATAGTGTACAGTTCTAGTCGTTTTTGATGGTCTGTGACAAATTTTAGCCTATTTTCTAAATTAATTACCTCCATAGGAATGATAGGCTGTAAAGTCTTGTAATAGAAGATAAGTGCTTAAAAACCATGATTATAAACTAGGAAGCAAACAGAATGGAAAGCAGTGCTGGATGTAAAAAATTACAGGGAAATTTTAAATATCAGAGTTAAGAACTTGCTCAAGTAAGGAATAACTGGGCATAAGGCATTTATACAGCATGAAGTTATGGCAATATAAGAAATAAATTCCGAACATTAAGTATTTGTTATATGTCTTTAAAGCAAAGTAATGCTATTTGGGAAAGTAAGCCAGAATGTAAGATTAAAATAAAAGCTGACAGTGAAAGACAGAAATGTTTGTGCCAAAGTAAATACGGGGTAGAGGGGATTCTATTGTGGACTTTTTTCTTGATGTCTTCTGGCTCCATAATGATGTGAAAAACAGTTTGGGTTGAAGATACAAACTAGATGTTATGGGGGTTTTATTTCTGCATATGAATAAAACTCATCAGTATAGGCTTATTAAGATAAATAGAATCAAAATAAGGTCATTATTGCACTGTAATACCACATCAATATAAAAATGCCTATTTTCATCTGCAGATTCATATTTTCAGCTAGCTGGCAACGTTGTCTGTTGACTTCAACTTTGTTATTTCATGTTTTGTTATACTGCTGTCTCATTTCTGCGCCATTAATTGATACGCAAATCTAGTTTAGGAAGAGGGATGTTCCAGTAGGAAGTTGGTTTCTGTTTGTAGATAAATTTTATAATTAAGCTATGTATGTGGTACTTAGTGTACTGTTTCTGGAGGTGGTGGGGTTTAAAACTGTATTTGTTTTTCCAGCCCTTTCCTTAATAGGCTAGGAAAAAAAATCAACATGTAAAGTGTCTTTACATTCTTTGCTTAATTATGTATAGCTGTAGTGATTTTTGCCTGTAGGATTGAAAACAACCCAGATTCTGAAGCTTCCAGTCTCCCTTATCATATGCTGTAAATCCTCTTTCCATCTTTGCTTAGCTTATTTTAGCAAAAGGCTGTATCTCCTTACCTTACTGCTCAAGCTGTACAAAAGCTGAACAAGTGGCAATGGTTTTTCTGTGAAAGATAGCAGAAATTCACCCGAATTCTTGGTGTGTTGGGGCAGGGAGCAAATCATTCAAAAATCTGTAATCCACTGAGAAACAGAAGAGTTACTGCACCCTGGGCAGGGTGGGCAGTGACGCTGGAATGTGGGCAGTTGAATGCTTGAGTTGAAAAACCTCTTAAATGACTGAAAAGTTGTTCATTTCACCTTAAATCAGGGATTGTATGTATCAATTAAAATTCTGCCAATTAACCTTCTTAGATCAGTAATTAAGTACATGTATCATCCCTCAAGAAACTTAATTAGCCCTTTGCATTCATACCACAGTGTGCTTTTTGCTTTTGAGAGCTGAGGGGTGGGGGGAGATGAGTATTCCATTGCCTTGAGGAGTTTGGTCTGCACATGTGACCATTGTCAACACTGATTGGTGTTAGAAGGGCTTCTGGACACTTCAGGTGTTGACAACTGACACAGTCCCAAGAAGAGTCATTTGCTTGAAGTGGGGTTCAGGTCTCCAGTTACTGTCAAAGGTTTCCTTCCTGAGCTGAATTTCTATATCTGTGGTAATGGTTATTCACTGGAGAATGTCAAAACAGGGCACATACTGAAAAGCCATTCTAAAAGTGTTTGTCTTTCAAAGTAGTAAATACATTTATTTTTAACAAGTTAATTTTGTTTAAATAAGGAATAGTAGTCATTGGAAAACTGATTATCTTCCGTTTTTCCCTCCCTCTTGTTTGGTCCAGTTATTCTTTTTTACTGCATCATTGCAGCTTCAGTTTCTGTAAAGCTGTTTTTGGGGGGACTAGCCCAACTAGAAAAGATACCTGCTACAAATTCAAGCATGTTCCACTCTCTTAATTCTGTTACAGAAAGCTGTAAAATCTTATTTGATGTCCTCTGGTATAAGAGAAACTTGAATTCTTAAAGTCAAGCTTCATGGCTTTTGACCAAATATCTGATCTCTTCTTTTTCCTATTCTATATCAGTGTTCCTATTTCCAACCCCAAAGCTGAATGTTCTTTCCTTGCTTTAGAAAAGTGTTCTCAGCACTGTGATATGGATCCTTCAGCTGACACCTCAGTAGAATACTGCTGAAGGATTTCTGTCTGCTCCAGGGCAAAATCTTCCTGAAGCTGCTCTTTTTGAAGTAATCCATCCCCTGAAAAACTGTTTCTGCTTGATAACTCTCTCAGAAAATGGGAGATGGAAAATAACCTGCACATTTGAGATCACAAAAAGGAGCAGTATTAAGTCTTAACTCAAAAAGTTAAAAGCTGAGTAAACACATTTTGTAACAATCATACAAATGTACCTTTAGAAATCCTCCTTGTTAAGATGCATAGCCTGAGAATGGCTTGTAGGCAAACACACACGTGTGTATTAAAGTAATTAATCAGAACACATTTATATTCATAACGATTCAATTTCAAATAGGTAAATAATATTCATCATAATGCTTGAATGTATTATTTATTTGCTGTCATGCAGAACACAGCCAAGCTGACTTTCCAGATGCAGGCTGAATGGTAAGAGGTGCCTTTTGCCAGGAGCTATTTGTGTCCCTCACCTGTGGCTTGCTGTTCCCAGCCAGGAGATGTTCCAGGACAACTCTGTGTGAAGGAACTCCTAAACTGGCATAGCTGATGTCAAGGTGCCAGGATTTGGCTTGTGCTGCTTGGAGTTACCTGCAGTACCAGGCTGTAGAGAGCTGCCTGGAATCTCCTTTAAATGTGTTTTGGCTGTACCCAGTGTAGGCATGGCAACTCTGAGGAGATTGCTATAATGAATGTCTGGGTGTG